CATGTACCTATATCTGTAATTCAGTTACACGGCCCATTTAGGGGTATATAAGATAAGATAAGATAAGATAAATTTATTTCAATATGACTTAATCTAATACAATTATAATGAAAACAATGTAATTAAAGATAAAATATTAAAATAAACAGTAATAAACAAAACAAAAAAAAAATCTAAATTATATAAAATAATCATGGTAAAATTAAACATTTTAATCTTAGTGCCTAATAGTGCAATTGCGATGCCTAAACTAAGTACATGTGTGCCTGTATTTTAGGCATAATAGTGCATTTTTCATAACAAAGCTTAAAAAATAAAGATTTTATAAATTTAACAAATAAAAGATAAGTAGTAATAAGTCGTTACAATTTATAAAAGATAAGTAGTTAAACATTACTTATTATATAAATATAAATTATGAAAGAAATTCCAACAAGTCCTCGGTATCATTGTAGGTTTTACTCTTAAGCCAAAATTTGACGGTCTTTTTACATTCAGTTTTATTCATATGAAAATAATGCAAAGTAGAATTTATTTTAAAATAAAGGAATGTGCCAAGGAAGCAGAAGAATCTATGTGAGTGTGCTGTGCGGAGTTGTGTACGAGATGAAAAGGGATCGTGTCGTCTTTGCTTAGTTACAGTCATGTAATCATATGGAGTAATTGAGTGCTTTTTCAAAATTACTTGCAGGATAAACAGTTGCCGAACAGATAGAACATCGCACTCGTTTAGTAATTTGTGGGTTGGGTAATCGAAAGGACGAAAGTTGATCATTTAAGAACAGCTCTCTGCGCTCTTTCCAGGTGTATCAGAGCGGTCTTATGTGCACCGCCCCAGGATGTAACGCAGTAAAGTAACAGTGATTGACAAAGGGCTAAATAAACTGATTTGAGAAGGGCGCTGATGGCCGAGTATCTTAAAGTTTTAAAAACATAAATCAATTTTCGAACTCTAGAAGTTAGCGCCACTATATTATGCTGTTTGAAATTGAGATGTTGGTCAATTATGACACCTAAATATTTAATATTGCTTGTGCTGTCCAGTTTTGAGCAAGTACAGAGGCATCCAAGAGATCGAGGGCCAAATGTGCCTTAATCATAAAGTGTAGAAAGCGTTTTATACTGTTGTAGCTGTGTTGGTTTACATTTACCTTTTTATTGTTACCGCCCTTCCTTTTAACCTTTCTTTTAACTTTACTTCTTTAATAAATTTTGTGGACCGGAAGTTTCCCGTTTCATTGCCGTGAACCTGTTCACGGCTAGTTAGGGTTACAACCCTTTCACATATATACTTAAATACACATATATACTTCCAAATGCGGGACGACCTGGTACCCCATATAGGCGGCTATATTGTACGCATTATACCTTTATACGGGGTACCAATATGGCACGAGGCTCTCTCCTCCGCCAATAGGAACCTCCTTCGTCGGCCTCAACGTGTCGTGGCCATCAGAATGTGCCGGGCATATATAACGGCATACTGGGCTGCTGCAAGTGCCCTTGCAAGTACCAATATAAGATGGAGAGATCAGGCCCTCAAGAGGTTGAATAATTTTTGATGTGGCTCAGCCACATGTGATCAGTCACATGTATATTTATTAAATATGTCAAATAATGACAGGAAATACAAAGGTCAAAAGGGAAAAGAAAGATAGACTAATATGCACTCTTTACAAAACACACTACGTATTTCTTTTTGTGAATTGAATTAACAATTATATATTGATTTACAGAATATAAATACTTTGAAACAACGGGCCAATGCTACAAATTTCATAGGCAGCCACAAATCTGGTCAGATGCTTACAAGATCTGCCTGGCTGAAGGCGGACATTTGGCCGTCATAAACAGCCCGGAAGAGGCCAAGATCTTATCCAGTATTTTCGCGCAGCATCCGGCTCATACCATGATGTCGAGATTCAAACACCACCTGTTACTCGGATTCATTAAATTAAACAAATCTTGGGGCACTATACATGGTGAGCATTTGGTCACACTTTTGTATTTTTTAAAGATGATTGACTTTACTTAAGACTACTTTGGGAGGGTGAAGTTCTGCGTCCTGATTTTGATTCAAAATGGAATTTATCCGATCGGGTAGTCTCGAAATCAGATGGATTTCTGAGCGAGAAGATGAACCTGATTTCTACTATATCTTTCTAATTTGTGACTTAAATAAACTATTGTTCCGATTAGAAATGTCAAAAGTTTCCTATCGGCCTGTTGTGAATCGCAATTATGCTCCTCGACTCGGAACAGACGCAGTTTTCGACCGGGAGAGGCAATCAAAATCAAACTGGTGAGCTGTAATACAGGTTTAGTTGCCTAGTACGGTCTCCATTCTCTCACAAAGGATACAACATCTAAAATTGTTAGTCTATTATAAAATAAGTGTATATTTCCTTGTGTTGAGAAAATAAACCATTATTATTATTAAAACACTTTTTGTAGTCCGGACTAATATTTGGTGTAAATGGCCATCTCCATTTTTATAATATATAACAGAATAGCATTGACTTACAAATAAATGGACGACGGGTCTAATGCAAAAACCACGAAAAAAATGTCCCAAGTCAACCTATTTAAACGTAGTGACATGTAAAGGAATATGAAAAAGCTAAAACGTTGAATTTAAATTGTAATGTCATCGCAGTACTGTCTAATTTTGCTTGCTTCGCTGTCAGTCGAACAAACGCAGACTAAAGCGTGAATGACGCTCTGTATACGATTTTAACGCCCTATAAGTTCGGACACTTTTTAGCGCGGACCCGACGTCCATATAATTGTAAGTCAATGCAGAATAGTTAAATTTTTTTAGACTTTAATTTTTTTTGTAAATGGGCCGTTGAACCATTGTGTATAATTGATATGGGACTTGATTTTCTCCTGTTTTGCTATCACGTGGTGTAATTTATTTTATTTTCATGGTAAAAATGTCCTACTCCATCGACTTGCAGTTGATTTGAGCCAGTGAGAAATGTATCCACAAACTTAAATATTCAATGGTTGCAGATGTAACTAACTTCATGCATTTATTGTATTATTGGAAAAACTTTAATTTCCTGTCAAGTTTTATCACTGTTGAGGATGTAAAAATTAAACCCGATTCTCACTGTTGTGTAATTCTTAATTTAATTATTATTTTTGAAGAGTACAGTCAAATACCAAAATGGAACCACAATTTTGAAAACAATGGCCACAGTTAAATGGTACGGTGAAAAATAGCAGGTCGCCAACAAACACCGTTTGAAATACATATCTTTACAAATTGGCTTATGTCTTTCAGGTCAAAGTCTTGAAGAAGCGGGTTATGCGATTTGGGCTCCAAACGAACCAAATAACTCACCACACCCAGAAAACCCTGGCCACCGTGACCCTTACGGCAACAATGAGAGCTGCGGGACAATGCAACGTGACGGTCTTTTGAATGATGCTTGGTGTGATATTACGTTCGCTTTCATCTGTGAAAAACATTTACCTATTGATGCAATCGAAAAAGAGATGCCGGCAGTAATAAAGGAATAAAATTACGCACAAACGTGTTTACTATGATAAGTTACAACTTATTTTGGGACATTTTATTGAGTGTTCCTGTTGGTGATGATTGTTGTAAAGCTTCTCTAATTACATACCTATTTTTTTTAATTACTGCGTACCGATTGTAAAGGGTAAGAGAGCTGGTGAAACTTACAAAGTTTAAATTTAATTGATGCATTCTCTTTTGGGTCAAAAAAGCGGCTCTGACGCCATTATCTCTCTTTGGACTATCTGTGAATGTTGTTTAGAAATCAAGACATTTGTTACTCAAGTCATTCATAATAGCTCCACATTTATTTTATTTAGGTGTGTATGCTCCATTGTCGACCTCACCTTCACTTTCTATCAGGTGAGATGGAGGTCAAATGTGCACTCATAATTTATAAAAAATAGCTCGTCTTTAGTCAAATACACGGATCTGGTGTTCGGTTATGGTAAGTTAGTCAATGTAAGATTTGATAGAAGAGTTGGTGTCAATGTAACATTTGATACAAGAGTCCGTGTCAATGTAAGATTTGATACAAGAGTTTATGTCATTGTCAAAGTCAAAGTCAAAGTCAAAGATTATTTATTCCATAGGTAAAATAAATTTACACTTGAAAACGTCACATTTAAGCTACTGCTCGTTCACTACGCTGACATCCCTGAGAAGAACGAGCAAGAAACTCTAGGGATTGCTCTTTTCAAACAAACTTAAATGCTATGGAATACATTTTGAATCAAATTTGTGTGGATTCTGGAGCCATGTCGTCTTTCCATACATCTTTATCTAACACGTAGCCTTCAATTTCGTAATATGATTTTTCGATCAAAATATTTTTAATGTAGTTTTTAAACTTAGGAAATGATAAACTTAATGTATGCTCCGGAATGTTATTGTAAAAACGTATACAGTTCCCCATAAAAGAGTTGTTTACCTTGGTTAAACGAAATTGTGGTACCATGAGTTTGGTCTTAGCTCTAAGGTTAATATTATGGATATCGTCTTTCTTATTGAAATTATGTATATTTTTACGGGCTTATAAAATATTTGAGTAAATGTACTGTGATGCCACAGTCATGATACCAGTTTCCTTAAACTTATCTCTGATTGAAACCCGAGAGCCTAGACGGTACACAGAACAAATCGCTCGTTTTTGCAATACAGATATGGTTTGAATATCTGCCGCTTTACCCCACATGAATCCCGTAGGACATTATACTACGGAAGTAACTAAAGTAAACTAGTCTAGCAGTACTAACATCGGTAAGCTCACGTATTCTGCGGACGGCGTATGCAACGGAGCTTAATCTGTTGGCCAGGGAAGATATATGTGGAAACCATTGAAGTTTACTATCTAAGGTCACTCCCAAGAAGACTGCTTTATTAACAAGGTCTAACTTTTCTCCGTTTATTTCTGTGCTTGAACTTGTCGATTTTACGTTAGGTAATTCAAATTTAACACATTTTGTCTTCTTGGCATTGAGCATAAATTGTTAGCATTAAACCAATAAACTACCTTAGAGAGGGTATCATTCATCATTCATTCTAAGATTTGATACAAAAGTTCGTGCCATTGTAAGATTTGATAGAAGAGTTCGTGTCAATGTAAGATTTCATACAAGAGTTCGTGTCATTGTAAGATTTGATACAAGAGTTCGTGTCAAATGTACTCATAAATTCGAATATAAAGTCGGCGAATTACAATCATAACTTGTACATTTATGATTGTAATTCGATTGTAATTTAAAAACATGAGTAAATAAAAACTTGTTATGTGCTCTTATCGCCCATGTTATTTTTTTTGCTGTAGCTTAATTGCTTTTTAGATTCAAATGTTTATACTCGTACTACACGCGTCTTATCGGCGCTCATAAATAACATTACGTTCGCGCCCAACTGAAGAGTGGTTAAGATTAATTATTATCTATCCAACCCTGAGTTCATCTGGTGGTAGTACCACAATAGAATGTAATATTTAAGACCTGCGGGATATCGGAGCCACACTATAGGTCTCATTCAATTTTATTGGGACCACGGATTTATGTGATCTGTGGATGGGATTATTTGAGAAAGTTATCGCGTCCTCGTCCTGTTACTGGCAAGATTTATCCCAACCATCACCAGTTCTTTGTCTCTAAATTTTTCTCAATTATGTCAGGAAATTTTCGCTTCTGTTTAAAAAAAGATCTTTTACGACACTAGAAATGAAGTAAATTCGCTTTAGTTTATTTTGTAAAATGAAGAGACAAGTCGTATCCGTACGAACGTAGAACTGTAGCATAGTTTAACCAAGCGTGGTACGCTTACGCTTCTACCGAATTCTCACAAATATAACCCCAACAGATCGTAAACATATTCCATCGAACGAAACGCATTTCGAAATAGAAAAATATTGGTATTACCATATTTTAGATTGAACATGCATACATCATGTCAATAAAAATATATGATAAACTTCCAGAAACTATAAATTTTTTTTTTAATAAAACGGTTTGAGAACGCCACCCTAAGCGCGTAGGCATAAATGTGACTCGTTCAACTGCGCGATCTGTCGTACATTATTTATGTAATATAAATCAGTTGGTATATTTTATTCCTATTATTTATAAAATTGATAACGATAACTAATTTTTGATGTGTGAATAAAAAAAACTAATTTGTTATAGTTCAACTATTTTTCTTTCATCTACCATTTTTCTAGCTTTAGTGAGGTGACAAGTTTTATGTGTCACTGGCAGCAAAGTAGTCTTGCGTCTCGTGGCTTTAGACCCTTGCTAAGCTACGTTTTGGATTATATTTTTGGCTCCCTCGCTTGGTCAGGTTTGAATACAAGCACTCAACCTTGCATAATAAAATAAGTATTGTTATGCAAGACTGAACATTTTTTTTGTTTTCATAATATCAAGCGACGGGATGAACAAGTCATGCGCCTGATGGTAAGCTACGCGCCTGTCCATAACAGTTTTAGTGCTACTCAGAGCTTTAAATCGCAAAGATTTGTAGGGCGCTGCCACTGCGCCCGTCTATACGGCCTAAACCCTCTCCTCAAAGGAGACCCATGCCAAGTAGTGGGACGACTAATGGATTGACGACGATAATTTAGTATTTAAAACATTGTTAGTCGTTAATTTTACATCCATGTATTTCACATTGCGACGATTTTTCTTACGACATGTGCCGTTCGACCATTCAGATGTGCGTGCAACACCCGTTGAGAGCTTGCACTGCCGGCGATACACTCAGTGGTAGGCACTTATCGCGTAATCTCGAGCGAGTGACGGAGCCCTAAGCGAGGTCGTCTAAGAATAATTGCAAGCACTGGTGTTGTATGTTTTATCAGTTGTTCGATTAGACATGGTATATTGTATAAATAGATGTTTTTTGAGGATTATTAATCATTTGCTCGCAGGAATTCGGCCTCATCGCGTTTGCAGAACTATGTTGCGACTATTCTTGTCAGTGTTTCTTGTGGTTACTCTCGGTAAGGTTTATCCATTTTATGTTCTATGATTCACTGAAGAAGATTTAAATGAAGAGTGTAATGGAATTGCACAATTTAATACCGCCTTCCCCTTTTCATCACCGAGGGACCAATGTCGTATATATCAGTGTTGGGCGTTAATCAATTAAATTTCAATCAGATTAAATTCAATTGAAATGATTTTAATTCGAATTAAATTAATTGCAATTACATTTTTTAGTTGTTCTAAGAAACAATTAAATCTAACAATTTAAACCGAAACTACCGAATAAAAGTGTCATTACGAATATGGGTTAGGGGGTGGGTTAGAGGGTACGTTCGGGGTGTGTTAGGGGGTAGGTTATAAGGTCGGTTAAAGGGTCGTTTAGGAGGTGGGTCACTCATCCGCTCACCTACCCTCTCAAACCCACTCACCCACCCCCTTACCCACCCACTCACTCACTCAAATTCGTGTCCGCCATCCTGGATTTAGAAATGAGTGCCATAGTTGTAATGAGCACCCCCAAATACCTCGAAAACCATACCCAACTTGCCATTATGTGAATAATCGTGCCCGCCATCTTACCTCCTAACCCACCCCCTAACCCACCCACTAACTCACCCCTAACCTATCACCTAACACACCCTAAAACACCCCCTAACCCACTCCCTAACTCACCCCTAACCCCCCAATACAAACCCTAACACACCCCCTAACTCACCCCTAACCCCCGCAACCCAAACCCTAACCCACCCCCTAACCCAGCCCCTAGCCACCCCCTAACCCAGCCCCTAGC